AGACAGAACGTACATACGGCTTTGGTTGGGTGATTCTGAGGAGGGATTTGGAAGCAGGGGCTCATTCTAGATTGAATGTTGTTAGGAAGTGAGGGAAAATTCTGTGACTGGGCACCTGAGTAAACCGGGAGGGAGGGCAACTAGAGCAAGGATACAGCTGTAACTAGACAGAAGCAGTGGTCGCTGTATGAGCACAGGGAGAGGTCCGGTACATTGTGAAGGTCACAGTGCCGCCTTGTTTGGTCTATATGGAATGATGTCATGGTCTTGTCTTGTCTCCCTGTGTCATGGTCTCAGGTGTCCTTGTGTAATGTCAATGTTCCAAATTGTTTTCTAATATTCTTTAGTTATTTTTCATTTGGGATATAGTTACTTTAAAATATTGAATTCAGAAGGACAAAGCAGACTCCAACCACAGGAATTGGTCTCACACTTACACGGGCCTCAGTGTTGTGAGAAGCGGAGCTGGGGCTCCTCAGTCGGTCGTGTTAATGTCTCAACAATTTCAATATGCTTACATTTTGACACAGAAACTTCTCTTTTAGAAATTTATCCTAAGGAGATGATTAGACATGTTCTCAAAAATACACATTCAAGGATGTATCTTGAATTGTGGTTTATAGAAGTAAAGAGTGGAAATAATCTAAATGCTACAATCACTGTAATGATGGTCACTATGAACAGAGGAGAACTAACTATGTCTCAGGCAGTCATTCCATGTGATTTACATACAGGGTCAATTTATGCCTCAAAGCAAACCCATGAGGGGCCCAATGTGTGATCCTTTTGTGCAGACAGGGAAAGGGAGCCTCAGAGAGGATAAGGAGCATCTATTTCGAGGCCACCTTGCATCAGGATCTGGAGACACTGGAGGAGAGCAACAGTTAGGTGCCTGCTGATGGGAAATGGGCTCTGCTGTGCGGGAGAGGGACAGAAATGACCGAGACAGATGCACATCAGGACTGCGCTAAGTGCCGTGAGGAAGAGCTGATGATGCCATGAGAGCAGATAACAGGAGTCCTGACAGGTCCCCTGCCGCTGATATCAATAATGTCTGAAAGATGGAAAAGATAAATGGAATGTGAAATAAAACCAGAATTCTATATAATTATATACAATCATAGAATGAAAAAGAGCTCTTGGGAATTAAAAATGTCATAGAATGAATACTTGAATAGATGAAGTGGAAAATTAGAGTCATACTGTCAGTAAGTAGTTGGAAAAATAATGACAAGGAGGAGACAAGACCTATTAGAATACTAATCTGTCAATCAAGGGATTTTAACAAGTTAATAAAAGGAGTTTCAAAAATAATGGAGAGTAGGAATCATAAGAAAACTCAGATTAAGACCAGCATTTACATCCTGAATGTCCCAACCAAACTCTTAGTGCAGACCCAGCCCAAGACAATCACAATGACATTTCAGACAGAGGGTGGTAAAGAAGAGACCTTGAAAACTTCTTGGGGCTAGAAGATAGTGAAGCAATGCCTTCTGAATTCTGGGAGAAACAAGTATTTCCAACAGAATTCAATATGAAGTCAACATGTAAGGCCTAGGGGAGCCTAAGAGATTTCAGAGTTTCAGTGTTGTAATTTCCGTGCTCCTTTCCCTGGGACACTATTAGGCAAAGTTGGTGGGGGAGGCAGGGATGATGGAGAAAGCAAGAAACAGGAAATACATGGGATCCAAACCTCAGGGGAGCCAAACAAGAGAGGGAGAGGGCTGCCCAGTAGGAGGTGAAGGAGATCGGGATGTCAGCCCTACCCCAGGTGTGCAGGGACCCCGCCCACAGTCCGCAGTAGGCAGGACTGAGGACTGTCGTAAGGACGGGTCTGTGTAAAGAGATGAAGTTAGTGGAATATCAGATGTGCTCAAAAATATTTGCGAAGACTTAGGGTCTGCGGAGAGTTTTGTAATGATTTAAAATGAATACAACATAACTAAGGTATTATTTATTCCAGGGAAAATAAAAAATCATTCAAGGAAAGGAAAGTCTACTAAATGCTCAGTTGTGACTAACATTTCCATCATCATAACAATGCAAACACTGCACTGTGAGCTAATCAAAATGGTAAGATTTATAAATTTATGAATTATAATTATAGAGGGAGGATGGTGGTGTGGGAAAGAACCAATTAACTAAAGATGGTATATAAAACTGAAAAACAAGGAAGGAGTATTATAAACATGCTATTTAGAGGCACAGAAGAAATAGAGAATCAGCTAAAAGTGTTTTAAAAAAATTTTGGGGGGAATTAGCTTTATTTATTTATCTATTTTTTTGATGAAGGTACTGAAGATTGAACCCAGGGTCTCGTGCATGCTAAACACATACTCTACCACTGAGCTATACCCTCCCCACTCAATTAAAATTTGAAAAATAGCTAGTCTATGAGATTTAAGAGATGGGGGAACATGGAACATTGAGCCATCTGCTTGGATATCAAGTCTTGTAGAAGTATTTTACTTCTTAAAACTATGTGCATATATCCATCATCTAAAAATAAGAGGACAACCTAGTAAATGTGAGATGGACTCGGGAACTGTTCTGTAAGAAGAGTCATAGACATGGGGCAGGTGTTGGGAGGAAACTGGACATAGAGTGGCAGATGTTTATGGGAGAGTTTTGTTTTCATTGATTTAGGTTTGTTTGATTAATTTTAATGGGAGCAATGACAGCTGTAGGCAGGAACAAAGGAGGCAGCAGGAGTGGGAAACTGCTGATACAGGGGACAGAGGAGCCGCATCCTGTGCCCTCCCTGAGAGGCAGCCTTAGACAGGAGGGACCATCCATCATCACTAGGGGGAAGGTGAGGATACGGGTGCAGATGCAGGAGTGCGGGAGGATGATGATGTCATTCTCACCTGAGTCCTCTTATTTTCTGAGTGAAAACAGAGCTCACCTTTAAGAATAAGGAGTGAGGAGGAAGTGGAGGGGATTGAGGAGGGAGGAGGAAGTGAGAGACAGCCCTCTTAGGAGGTGGGAGACTGAGCTGACTCAGGACATGGCATCTGAGAGTGCAGGGTGGGGGCCACTGAGGTCTGTGCTCATCAGCCTAGAGAAAGTTCCAGCACCTGGGCAGCAGCAGAAGGATGTGTAACAAACTGAAAGAAAATGCAGTTATTGTTGGTGTGAGAATTATAGTTCATTTTCCTTTGTCATTTTAACATTTATACTTTGTTTTACAGTGAATATACATTATATTATATACTATACTTTACACATATACATTATAATAAGGATTTTAAAACTTTGTTAAATTTTTAAAAAGAAAGGCAGATGGATAGAAAAAGACAAGAGCAAGAACAGGGGAATGCAGAGCTGGAGCCACGCAGCATCTTTCCCTTCTTTTGGGGCTGTGGTCATTTATTAGTATCTTATAAACTCTTTGATACTTCTAACAATAATTTTTTTTGTATTTTATGTGGCATTTTTAGCTATGTCCTTGGACAAATTTTTCCATACAATCCAGCCCATCTTTTCCAGCAATCTAATCTCTAGGCAGAAGAGCTCAGTCAAAAGGTGATGGGTCTGGAGCAGAGGACCAGAATGTGCGTCCTGACACATGAGCTGAAGAAGAATGTCAAGTGTTTCACAAGTGTAAGGGATTTTAATGTCATGTGCTTTTTGAAAACATTATTTATGTGCACAAAAGAGAATTCAAAAGATACTCAAGAGTATACAAAAATAAGTAAGTCATATTGTTTCCCTCATCCCCTGGTCACCCAAGTCCTCTACTCAGAAGCCACTGCAGTTAGTAATTTCTCACTTATCTTCCCAGAAAAATATATTTATGCATTGCTGTATACTGTTATCTGAGTAAAAGCTCCAGCCATGGACAGAGAGAAATTATTTGCAAATTCACATATCTGATTCAAGACCTGTTTTAGAACATACATAGAACCCTTAAACTCAGCAATATGAAAGCAAACAACAATTTAAAAGTGGAGAAAAGTCTGATAAAGATTTCATTATAGAAGATTTATTAGTGGAAATGGGTATGAAATGGTGGTCAACATCATGTTATCAGGATATGTAAATAAAAACAACAGTGATGCACCATCACACCTATGAGAACAGCTAGAATCCAGGAATAGGAGATGCCAAGTGCTGAGCAGGACGTGGAGCCGCAGAAGCCCCCCCACCCCACCCCACCGCCTCTGCACTGCTGCAGGAATGCGAAGCAGTGCAGCCACTGCAGGGACGGTCAGTAGTTTCTTATAAACACTGACACAGACTCACCGTCCAACCTGCTGATCACTCCAGTACTGTGTCATCTCATTTGAAAACTTATATTTGCACAAAACCCTGCACAGCAGTGTTTATAGCAGAGCACCCCTCAAGTGTGGGCTTCGCTTAGTGGCTTTCTTCTAAAGACTACAGTATGAAAAGCGGGGAAGGAAAAGTAAAAATTCAGGAGAAACCTGGGAAACCTACTGTAGCTAGGTGACGACGTGAACTTGTTAGTGATAATCAAGTGGAGAGCACACAGCCTCGATGTGTGGAGAACGTCACTTCATCTCTGTGGTCTTTTTCCCCCAAACCCTTTGCCCCAGTCAATCAAGTCAAATGAGTCTACAACATCCCTGAGCAGTACACCCCATGTCATCAAAACCGGGGGATGTCTGCCACAGCCCGAGAAGTCTGAAGGAGACAGGATTGGGACTCAGTGCAGTGTGGTTTTGATAGGATCCTGGATCAGAAAAAAGGAAAATTAATGAAATCTAGATAAATTTTAGAATTCAATAATATTGTATCAATATTGCTTTATTAGCTGTGACAAATGTATGACAGTGATATAAGATATTCCCATAGGGAAACTGAGTGTGGGACATACAGTAACTCTGTACTAACTTTGTTACTTTTTTGTAAATCTCAAACTATACTAAAATTCAAAAAATTTTAATATTTGCCAGAAGTGAAGAGGCAGTGGAAGAAACTGATCAGCTTTTGAGTTTTCAGGTTGTTTTCATCAATGAGGTTGTGAAAGGGGTATTGAGGAGAAAAGACGGGAACCTTAGAGTCAGGGCAGGGTTCCAGAGCTCTCCTCTCCTCCACTCCCTGCCCGCCCGCAGCCCGAACCCAGAACTACTCAGAAGGCACCTTCATCTCCCATCTCTGACTCAGACCACAGCCCCTCTGCTTCCAGGACTGTGCTGAGTAGGAGAGAGCAGAGTGGTGGCGCCCTCGTGTGGCCACAGGGATGATGACAGGAGACCTGAGCTCCCTTTTTAGTCATTGTTCTGACTATTCAAAGTCCTTTGTATTTGCATATAAATTGTAGACTCAGCAGGTAAGTTTCTTAAGAGACACTGTCAGAGTTTTGATAAGCGTTTAGGATTCCGAATTGAATTGCTCTCAGTGCATAGATTGATTTTGGGAGAACTGGGGCCTTAACAATATTGATGATGCCAATAAGTGAATACGGAGTTTATCCCTATTTCTTTAGTTTTTCCTTACTTTCTCTCAGGCACACTATGTAGACTTCAGGGTTCAAATCTGGCAAACTCTCTTTAAAATGATGCCTGAATATTTTATTTTGATGCTATTATGAATGGAATTTTAAATTATTCATTTTCTTAATGTTACATTACTGGTACATAGCAACCCAATTGACCTTGTAGCCTGCAGTCTCCTTTTATTTACCTGTTAGTTCTAGAAGCTTTTTTGGGGGGAATTTCTATGCACACAATCATGTCACCTGCAAATAAATCCTTTTTTATATTTATATCTCTTTGATTGCTTTTCATTGATCAATGCTCTGGCTAGGACCTCTAGTACAATAGAAACATACTAGATGTTTAGTAGAAATGGTGAGTGTTGGCATCCTTACCTTGTTCCTTACATTAAGTAGAAAGTATCCAGTCTTTCACCATAAAGTATGATGTCAGTTCTAGCTTTTCCGACGATGTCATTCATCAAATTAAGCAAGTGGGTTTTTACTCCCAGTGTGCTGAGAGATTTGATACATTAATATGATATATTACAGATTTCTATATATTCATCCAAAGGTGCCTCCTGAGATAAATTGTTCTTGCTCCTAACATGTTGGCTTCCACTTGCTGATGTTTCCTTAAGGATTCATGAGTGACATTGATTTGAAGTTACTTTTTTTGACGTCTTTATCTGGTTTTGGTATCAGGGTATTACTAACCTCATAAAACAATTTGGAAGCCGTTTCTTCCTCCTGAATTTTCTCCAAGATTTGTATAGGACTGGTGTTGATACTTCAATGTTGGATAGAATCCACCAGGCTCCATCAGAGCCTGGAGTTTTCTTTGTGGAATTAAAAAAAGTTATGTATTTAATTTCTTTAATTCATAGGAGATTAATTAGTTTTCCTATTTGTTCTTAATTCAGTTCAGTATATGATGTCTTTAAAGAAATTGGTTCATTTTCATACTCATTATCTAATTTATTTGCTTGAATTGTTTGTAAGAGTCTCTTATTATTCGTTTAAAGTGATAAATCTCCCTCTAATGCTGCTTTTGAAACATCTCACAAATTTTTACTTCATTTCCATTTAGTTAAAAAGATTTCTAATTTCCCTTCTGATTTCTTCTTTAAGCCAGGATTATCCATGAGTTTAAATTGTGTTGGTTAATTTCTGAATGTTAATAAATTTTCAAACTTCCTTTGTCCTTCATTCTCACTATTTACTATTAGAAGTTGTTGAATTTATAGGTTTCAAAACACGGCACAACTATTATTTCCAAAAGACTTCAGGACACCAACAATAAGAAAAAAGAAAAGGCAAACAAACACGTTTTTCAAAAGTTGTGCAATACAGGGTAATGCTAAACTGATGATTTCCCTAACTCTCAGAGTGATGAAGGTACAGCCCAGGCACGCTGTGGCTCAGACTGCCTTTGGGCTCAGTCTGCAACATCAGCCCTGCCCTGGTCTCCAGCTTGCTCACCCAGCCGGCGCATTTTGGAATTGTAGCCCCACAGTCGTGAGAGCCAATTTTTAACTATATATGTACGCGTGTCTTGGGGCTCTGCGTCTGTGATGCACCGTGTCTAATGCAGGACTGTTACAGGCACTAACAACAACAGCTAAACCCTTGCAGTTTTCAAGGAATTTCTAAGGCAGGTGGTGGCTGTGCAATCACGTGACACCCACTGGCCAGGAAAGCACATGAGCAGAAGAAACTCTTCTTGCTTTGGGGGAAGGTGGAGGATGAGGTGAACCATCCCTGAGGAAGTAGCGTTTCAGCAGAGATGAAGGGGGCAAGACCAGAGGTTAGGGCAGGTCGCTGGGGTGGAATGTGCCAGATGAGGGAAGAACAAGGGATCAGAAGTCCTGACATGGAAAGGACACATTTGAGACCAGGGTGGCCGGGACGAGGACAGTTGCAGGCTGTGGCTTCTATCCAGGGGCTCCCTCCCTCCGCCTGCTCTACCTCCACACTCAGCACGTGGACCCACCGGCTGATTCAGAAGCCCTAGGATTACAAAATAGTAGGACCCGGAGGCCCTGGGCCTTCTAGCCTAGTGGCTTTGTTCTGGAGATACTGAAGCTGAAGCCACAGAGGGAAGTGACCTCCCCAGGAAACGGAGGGTGTGGCAGGGATGGAACTCCCTGACTCTGAGGCCAGGGGGCTTTCCACGAAGACAACAAAGGTGATCTGGGGGAGGGGACTTTGTGGGGAGAGTGAGGTAACATCCAGGGGGTGAGATGCAGGAGACCTGGGGGGGAGTCCTACTTTCAGGCAAATGACACCTCCGTCTCCGCCATGAGAACATTTCCCAAACTCCCCTACTCCCCCTCATCCTCCACTTGTTCAAGCCCTGCTCAAGAACGACTTCCTTCTGGAACGTTTTCTTATGGAGGTGTCGAACTAACATTTCCACTTTTTTTCTCCAAATACTCTCAGTGCCTATTCAGTGTGGGATTTGAATTCACTTGTGAGGTTGCGGTACAATTGTTTTTCCATCATTTTATGTTTGTGCCCTGTCTCTCCTATTACACACACAGACACACACAGGACAAACACCCTCATTTCTCACACACTGGGAAGGGAGCTCACTCAATGAATAGCGGAGCTTACTTTGAATCCACTGATGG